TTGAAGGAAAACCGTGACAAGCAAACAATTTGTTGTGGGAGATAAAACTCAGGCCTCACAAAAACTAGAAGATTCTTCCTGGAACGGTGTTGGTGGCCAGTGAATATCTGCCTCTTCCACTAAGTCAAAATCACAGTCCATAACCAGTAGCCAACCTTCAGTAAGAAATGCATGACCAAGTGCAACATGAAGCAACACCCCACCCGAGGGAATGGATGATCAAAGCACACAAAACAGTGCCCCAGGACTTATTTGTATGAAATACGTATCAAACCCTTCCTAGGCAAAAGACTGAAATACACTGGAATGTGATCTTTGCACTCATTTTCATTTGAATATCTATACAATACACCTTCTAATGATTTTCACGAAGGGTTTTCTAGACAATATGACAGTGACTTGTATAACCTCAGGCCAGACAGAGCTGTGTACAGGGGTCTTTTATAGCACGGGCATTATTTCCATTTTTAAACTAGGTTGTATTCCTACCATTAAGATTAATCAGTACTTCATTTCAAAAACGGAACCACTGATTAAATATTTCAGTGACAACTTTTCAGGTGCCAATTACAATCACAACTAATTGTTGCAATTATTACGTCCTAAATTTGGTCTCCGTCAAGTGAAAGTTGTGGTGGCAATTGACTCAAAAGTAAACAAAACTTGAGGATGGAACAGCCACTGAGCAGGAACATCAATGCAAACAGCTTGTAAAAGCTTTTTCAATGATTTCCGAACCACAGTGAAACCAATGGCATGTTTTAAGTGAGTAGAGAGATTATATAGGAGTTTATTGAAATTTGGGTTGCTCAGCCTGGAGAAGGCTCTGGAGAGATCTCACCACAGCCTTTCAGTACATAAAGGGGGCTCTTAAAAAAGAGGGAAAGTGGCTCTTTACATGGGCACATAGTGATGGGACAAGGGGGGAATAGTTTTAAAGCAAAAGATGAGAGGTTTAGATTAGATACAAGGAGGACGCTCTCATTGTGGGGGTGTGAGGCCCTGGCACAGGCTGCCCTGCAGAGCTGTGGGTGCCCCATCCTTGGAAGTGTTCAAGGCCAGGCTGGATGGTTCACTGAGCAACCTCGTCTAGTGGAAGGTGTCCCTTTTTTAATCGAAAAACATGAAAGTGCAGGCCAGTGCGGTTCTCATTATAACACCAAGTGCTTCGTAGCACGCAAGACGCAGGTGCCAACTACTCCTGTTTCATGATGCCTCCCTCCAAAACTCTGGCAACACCTTCCCCTGCAGCGCGAACACCTGCCATTTCCCGGCTCCCACCGCGGGTTCACTGCGATCCCGTGCAGGGAAAGGGCAGGACCCCTATCCTGGGATTCTTC